AAATCCGTTGCATTTGATATCGAAGAAAAATCTAACAAAAGAAAATTGTTAGAATAGAAGGATTTGGTAGATGTTGATGGAGGCGATAAGACATGGGAGGTCGACGAACTAAAAGTAAAAGGAAACTCTACAAAAAAGAAGAAAAGGCCACATGATTATATCGATTTTTCCTTATGATCAGTCGTCACTACTTTTAAGAAGACTTTTGATTTATCATCAACATTAATCATAACCCAAACTCGTGATTATCCAAATATCACAAATATATCTAATTAGAAAATGTATATTTTATAACATTTACCATCACTTAAAAAAAAATTAATCCCCCTTATGTGAAGCGTAATTAGATTTTCGCGACATACCTTTCGCGTGGATTTCGTCATTGGCAAAGCTAAACGGGAGATCAGAACGTTGAACATCCGTTGAACCATTTTTTACGACCTGAGAGTTGTCATTCCCTTCTATTTTATCGAGGTCCACGTAATACAAAGTAGAAGTCTTCATCCAAGAAGGGTCAGTTGCCAGAAAATAAGCACGGTTGTTTCTTTCATCAAAACAAAAATCATTGATGCTGAACGGTTGAGCCGAGTTTCGGTAGGCTTTAACTTCTCTTCGTATTTGCTCCTGAATTGATTCCATATCGCAAGTATTTCGGCTAGAAGCTGGTGTAGCAAAATGGTGGAAACATAATTAAGGTTGTCAATGAGTTCGCGATCTTTTAATGTTTAGCGTGAACTTGAGAAAAAAATAGATTTGGAGTATTACAATCTAGTGAAAAGAATTGTTTCGGAAACTGCAAATTGCAATTGGTTTTAAATGTAATCTAATTTTATCGACGTTAGTTTATTTGCCACAATTACGTAGGTATGATATAGACGTGTCCCGTAAAGTTCAATTTACATAAATAAGATAACCTTATTGTTATTATACTTGTAGAGTTTGGAAAATCGCTGCCTTAATTTATCGAAAATTACAAATATGGGAATATTTTAAATACAATGTTTTACGTTTTTTTTTTATTGCAAAAAATAATACGTATATATTATTTTTTTAAGAGAAATCTTAGGTAAACATTAATATTTTACTAGATGCATAAAGATAATTATTATTTAATAATAAGTGATAATGGTTTGTTTTTATATTTAAAATAAAAGATTAATAATATTTGCTTTTTGAATATTTATAAAAAATTATAGAAATATTTTCTAAAATAATTTTACCTAATTATTAATATTAAAATATTAAAGTTTCTAAAATAATTTTACCTAATTATTAATATTAAATATAGAAAACATACTAGTAATAAAATATAGTTTATATTATTAAAGTTTATAAATATTTAATACAATTTATATAATTATTTAATATTATTATTTAAGTTATTATTAAAATATATAAAATAATAGTTAAATACAATTTTTTTTAAGAATTTTAAAAATTAGATCCATAATAAATAATTTATATTACACATATAAATTAATAATATTATATACAATAATAATTTTTGTTTTTTTGTTAAATTTAATTTATAAATTTTAAATTTTTATTATTAAAATAAAAACTAAAATTGTATTGTTAATAATTTAAATTATATATTATGTAAAAAAAATTAAATTTAAATATTTTTCAAAAATTATATTATAATAAAATTAAAAAAAATTTTAAAAGTTATATAAAAATATTTATTTGAATTAATACTTGTAAACAATTAATATATTAATTAATATATAATATATGTTGAAATTAAATAAGTTTTTGGATTGTTAAATTTTAATAATGAATTAATAATAAACTTGTTATTGAATATATTTTTTATATTAAAGACTCCTAAATTTTATTATTTAATACAATTATAATTTTTTTTGTTATAAAATATAATTATTAAAAAAAATTATTAAAAAAATATATAATATAATAATAGTAATAATGATAATAATTGATACAAAAAATTTATATTCATATATATAATTTGCTTATGTTTTTAAAAACACAGTTATTATAATATAAATAAAAATATAAAAAAATTAGTAAATTATAATATGTATTTAAAAAGTATTGATTGGTTCACACTAACTTCAATGAGAAGATTTTCCTACAATCGCACAAATACTTTTCCAAGAAAAGATTATTTAAAAAAAAAATGTTTATTACTGCGGGACAATTTATTTGGCATGTTACTATTTATAGCGCCAACGTTACGCGAATCTGAGTTTGCATTTATAAAATTTTTTTTGGATCGAAAAGATAGTTGATATAACGAAACATGCCGATTCTACCGACGACAGCACCGCGCTCGTCTTTCCACGAGGAAACGCTACACAAACAAAGGCGACCGAAATATTGGACAGCATCGATTCCAATATTTCTACGACGGTTGTTCCGTTTTCCGCAGATGGTACGAAGTTAGTCGTTTGTTGCACCCGATGAATATTTGTCTTAAATATCAAACAAAATCTACAGGATTTTGAGCTTGCCTTTTGGCAAATGCTTTATCTATGTATAGCACCAAGAAGAGTGTGGGTAAAAAACTTTACAAATATTTGTTGAATTCATAAGATTGTGAATTATTAATAAGACTATTAATTATCTCATAATCAACAGATATCGTAATATTTATTATCATAAACGTAAGAATTTTCATCTTCGCCTTTCAGCTTTTGACACAAAATATGCTCACAATTTCGATTCCGGTATATAGAAACCAAGAATCAATGGGCCAGAGACGATCCAGGATTTGTCGTGATCTTATCTTTCTTTCTGGGTGGCAAGTTTTATTTGTAAACCAATTGGTTGTCGAATGAGAGCTCTGACCTTTTAGTAATCATCAATTAAACTTCCTATCCTAAAGTATCCGCGATTGCATGGGGATTAGTGTACGGTCACGGACTAGTCGGAATTCTGAAAATGAGCCTTTTTATGGTTTTCATAGATTTTGTGGTGGTTGGAATGGTTATATCAACGGTTTGTTGGTAATTTATTCGATCATACATACAATTCATCTATTTCTACTT